ACCCACAAGCTTTGTTACCAAGAGGAGAGAGAGCAAGGGAGGAACTATCTCCCAGAACAAAACTAGACCACTCTGGGACCCTTAAAATTTAAGTTGCCAGGCAAAAGGCAAGAGAAAGAATGACTTCGGAAAGGATGACGAGAATGTGGTGAAGCATAAAGGCTAACAACAGAGGCTAACCATCCCTTACCATCGACAGGGCACTGTGCTAACAGTGGGTCATCTCAGTCAATTCTCATGAGAATGGGACTCTTAACTATCCCACTGGCAGATAAGAAAAAAAGCAGGGAGGTTATGTGTCCAAGGTGATAAAGTCTGTGAAAAATACTGGATTTAACTCAGATATGAATGATTTCCAGGGCAAAAGCAAACTTAGTATTTACAAGTGCTTAAAATTCATACAACCTAGATCTGAGGCCAAAAAATCTGTATCTCAGTGGTGGAACAACTCTGTTTTTCCTTAAGATAATTTCTCCAGAGATATATTGTCATTGGCAACTGCTGGCCTTTTCCCTCTTCTGAGCAAGAAGGATTAGATAAAATCATTGGTAAGGCCAACCCTTCCATCTTTATGTAATGCAACATTTACAACATGTCTAATTTTACATAAGAAATAATATATAAAAGTGGCTCACATTATGAAAATTAGTCCCCAGAAGATTTCATTCCAGGTTGTACTCGGTAATGTTTGGCCCTAAGAACTAAAGATGGCACAACTCCTATTTATTTTTACCAAGAAACAGGCAACTACTTTTTTTTCCCTCAATACAGAGTAAATATCCTCTCTTTAGCACAACAAAGCACTGTTGATTTCTTAATATGGGTATGGCCATGGTACAGTCAGTTTTATATGTTGAATCTCTATCAGAAATCTTCATCAGGGTGAGAAAAACTATTTCTAGTATTGTGTGCAAACCTTCCTATTTAGTCCTTTGAAGGATACAGGCACAGAATTTCATCCTCAAAAAGCTCACGTTCTGGTTAACTACATCAAAAATTAAATAAAATGGAGGTCAAAAAACAAAGATGACAATATAGCTTACTATCAACAATGATTACAAGCAGCTTAATACCACCTTAGTTATTCTGATTGATTCATATTTATAAATTATTCTAAATTGTCTTGCACATACTAAAAATCAACTTATCTGATATCGAGGATTCCTTTCTATTAAAATATCACCCCATTTGAGTTTTAAGATTATAATTATTCTCCACTAAGAATTACAGAATTCTGAAAAGTAGAACATGGTATAGAATCGTGATAAGTATGTTTGAAATTAACCAAAATTAAACCAAAAAATTAGTGGATAATCATACTGCAAATACTCGCTCTCTAGCTGACCTAGGTCAGCCTAGACAAGGAAGGTGCAAGTTCTTTGAGGGCAGGTCCTTTGCCCTGGCATGTCCTGTAGCCACAAACAAAGCACCCAGAGCAACAGATGCCATGGACTTGATAAGCAACCAATGATTTGGAGTCAGAGCAGCTGGTTATCATTTCAAATCAACAAACATCTGGGAGGACTTCCCTGGTGGCGCAGTAGTTAAGAATCCACCTGCCAATGCAGAGGACGTGGGTTCAAGCCCTGGTCCGGGAAGATCCCACATGCCACGAAGCAACTAAGCCCGTGCGCCACAACTACTGAGCCTGCGCTCTAGAGCCTGCGAGCCACAGCTACTGAGCCCACGTGCTCCACAACAGGAGAAGCCACCACAAGGAGAAGCCCGCGCACAGCAATGAAGAGTAGCCCCCGCTCGCCACAACTAGAGAAAGCCTGTGGGCAGCAACGAAGACCCAACCCAGACAAAAAATAAATAAAATAAATAAATTTTTTTTAAAAAAACAACTCATCAGGAGGAAAAGATAATTCAGACAGCTCAAACATACAGCAAATTCAGGCGGGAAGTAGTTATGTAGAGATGATCAAGTATATGCAATGACTATTAAAACTGATAAGAAATTTAAAGAAAATTAAAGGAAATAAGATGAATCAAGTCAGTAATCAAGTTAGGTTAGTAAGGAAATGAATATCCTAGAAGATATAGCAATTTGAAATAAAAAATATTATTTTTAAAAAAGTAGTCAAGGAGAAAAACCAGAGAAGGTGAGGGCAGGTGTCTCTTCAAGTGAACACCCCTCATGTGTGGGCATAAAAGAAAACAAATCAGACTAAAGTGAAACCAACACATCAGTTCTATAATATCTTATGATTCAAGTTCAGTGAAATTCACTGACTTGTCACAAATTATGAGCAGAAATTTGATGGCAGTATTTATGCAGACAAGTGAAAATTGTAAAAATAGAACTGGACAGAAATAAGTTTTGTGATTTTGTAAGATTCATTGTGTCACAAAATATATGAATATCTTAGTGACAGAAAAACTGAATGCAGTTCTGTTACCAATGATAAAACAAATGGACTGAAAAGTTGCTAGGTGTCCCTGGAACGTTTATTACTTAAACTAAATATTTTACAAAAATACTTTATTTACTCATCAAAGTAATCACTTCCGTAACAAAATTTCTAAGTACTACTATTCTTCTACCCATCTTCCTATGGGTTAAGATTCACACTATTCTTTTCTTCTCACTCATGAACTCAAGAAAATCTACAGGTTTAATGTAAACTATTTTTTAAGAGTCATTGTTTACAGGGGGAGTTTAAGACCAATATGGTTGCATTTCTCATTTGTTCCTTTCCAATAAAAACCCATGAAAGCTTCAAATCCTTTTTACTCTGTAAGCCTGTATTCTTTTAATATTCAGTGCTAAAAAATTCCACTGTTTATTCCTTCCTTTGTTGTGTCCTTGATAACTGACGAAGAACCTTTAGAAACCTTTGGGGAAAAAATGGGACGTATGAACATCCTCTTCTTTAACTGTTGAATATAGATCAGTAAGCAAGGAAAAGGATGCTAATTTTTTACAGTATTTGCCTAAATGTGTATTTGCTTTCAAGAATTCCTCTTTCATGCTACTTGACAAACCTAGGGTTGGGAATGTGTAAAAGACACCTGATGCATAAATGTAAGTGAGCTTTTATACTACATTACAGAAGTATATCGGAACTCCCTACACTACTACTATTGGGGCAGTTTTCAGAAAAGCAATGTGTCCTGTCCTACATCTAAGGGCACTGGTACATAATCCATGGCACAAAGCAGGTATTCCAGGGGGAAAAGATGGCTGCTCCTTCACCATTTTGGTTTCCATCAAAAAGCTCCCAAGTCAGTGTTATGGGGGCTCTGATGTATGTTTTTCTTTGGAACCTTCTCCAATGGGTGTGTGATTACATTTTTACTAAGTCAATTATCTTGAAAGAAATGTGGCAGCTTCAGTTTGAATATTCTAAAGGATCAAATGAAAACTAATAATTTCAAAAGTGGTATGTTATTGCACATTTTCCCTCCCACAGTTTAAGAAAAGTGGTTTAAAGTTAAAAATGTAACATTTTGAGTACCTTCTGTGTTAATAAAAACGCTTGGACTGTTTTTAACATTCCCAGGTTAATGGCTGAGAAGGCATATAGTGCTGAGGTAGAGCACAAAGCCCTCTCACAGCCTTTTCACTATATGAGAATGATTTCTTTCAAACCCCGTGGAACAGCTAGAGCACTATTTCTGCAGTACTTCCTCCTGGCTGGTGGAAAGGCATGTTAACTGGGAATGCTCAGAACGAGGAAGAATGACTTCCTGACAAATGTAGCTTTTCTTCTCTATGCTTTTAATGCTAGAAAACCACTCTGTTCAATGAATGTTGGCACGCCTACTACGTGTAAGCTCTGGGCTAGGCAACAGAGATACAAATACAAAGTGGGATAAAGAAAAGCAAGACAGGATCTCTCTCCCTCTAGGCGCTTAGTCTAGCAGAACAGAGAAAACAGATGCCAACCCTGCTATAATAGATGTATTTTAATGTATCATAAATAGTTGCAAGGATGGAGTGGATCTCCATCTTAATTTTATCTAGGAGAGTCCTAGAAAGATCTACAGAGGTGATGCCTGAATTATTTATATATATATATATATATATATATATATATATATATATATATATATATATATATTTTTTTTTTTTTTCCTCACTGTTGTGGTCTCTCCCGTTGCGGAGCACAGGCTCTGGACGCTCTGGCTCAGCGGCCGTGGCTCACGGGCCCAGCCACTCCGCGGCATGTGCAATCTTCCCGGACCGGGGCACGAACCCATGTCCCCTGCATCGGCAGGCAGA